GACCAGTCCGACTGAGGTCCCCTGCCTGCGGGACCCCGCAGCTCTGCGCATCGTGGCGCAGAGCAGGGCACGGGCATGCGGCCCTCGGCCGTGGGAGGAGGAGGGAAAAGTCCAGGAAAGCCTGCCTGACTGTGGATCCTGCTTCCTTTCTTTCGGGGACTTTCCCTCGTCGTCGACGGGGGGCCTTGGCCGTAAGAGGAAACTATCTAAGGGCGAGGGCAGATTTGGCGACAGGGGAGTCCCGTGAGTATTTTGGATTCCTGTTTGAGGCAGTACCCATATTCGTGAGTCCTTCAGTTAGCCTCATGTCTGCTTGAGGTGCCCTCACGTATAGTGCAGGATTGAGACGGGCCACCCGAATTATTGCGCTTAATTGAGGGAAGGGGCCTTTGAAAGCAGCTGCTGTCCCAGAAAGTTAAATAGAAACAAAAGATGAACCGCGAACTTCCCCGCGGGTCTACGTGGAGGGATCTGTGCAGCAGAGCCGGGAGGAGCCTAGGCCGGTAGTGGGTTGTCCAGCAAGGTCAGCCTTCGGGACCCAGCAGCAGCTCCGCGGGAGAGAGGTGACTCCCAAAGGGAGAGTTCTCTGATGCCCTGTAGGATCGATCAGAGTCCGAATCCCGCAATCCCAGTTGGTTTGGTAAGACGCACTCAGGTGGTGGTGGTGATGGCTAGATGGATTCCGACCCAGAGTAGAAAATGGTTAAGACACAGACTGCCTGGTCATTCTCCTCCAGAGCTGGCGGGTGCCAGCCCTGACCTTTTTACCAGCTTAGAGCTTACCCATGGTGCCACCAGGGCTCCATTACTAACTAGGCTGTTGGAAGTGAAATATCCCCTGTGGCAAAGGGTGCTATTTTTAAGTCAATCATATTTGAGTTAGGATCACTGAACTGCTAGGTGCCCTTTCAAGTCAAAAGATGAGAAGGAAGCTAGCACAAGACTTTGCGACCAAATGACCCTTCCAAATAATTGTTAAGGCACTGGCAAGCGCCTAGGGAAGCCCCGGTGGCGTGGTGGTTACACATGGGCTGGTAGCTGCAAGGTCAGCAGTTCAAACCCACCAGCCACTCCGTGGGAGAAAGAGGGGTGTGCTCTACTCCTGTAAAGAGTCACAGTCTTGTGTTCACGGGGGCAGTACCCACTGTCCTGTAGGGTTGTTGTGTGTTCCATGACACACGTGTTATGAAATGGCTCTAAAGGGACTTAGACGTATAATTGTGAGGTTAAGAGGCACATAGACACGAAAGTGGGCAGCCCTGGCTGGAGTAGTGTGACGCGTTAGGCTGCTAACTGCGAGATCAGCAGTTTGAAACCACCAGCCACTCCTCAGGAGAAAGACAGGTCGTCCTGTTCCCATAAAGAATTACAGTCTCAGAAACTCACCGGGGACAGTGTTACCCCGTCCTGTAGGGTCACTGTGAGTTGGCATTGACTGGATGGCAGTGTGTTTGGTTTGGTTTTGGAGGAGTGGCCGAGGGAGAGGTTAAAATGCCCGTGGGTGGGCCTGTGAAGTGGGCAAAGAGAAAGCTGTACAGGAAATCCAAGGACAGACAGAATTGGGGAAATACGCTGTAAAAGATAGTAAGGGGTTCAGAAGCGAAGCCGTGCGTGTGAGGATGAAGCTGCGCTTTCCCCGGGCCCTGGAATTTTGCAGTCACTTGATCTGCGTGCACAAACTGGACAGTGAGTCCGGCACTCTGGAGAGTTGATGCCGGTGGAGTGCAGTGTTGACTAAATTGGTGCTGGAAGGACAGCCAGAATAACGCCTTCAAAGGGAAAATGGCAACGCTTCCTCCAACGTCCTTTGGACATGGCATCAGGAGGGACCAGTCCCGGGAGAAGGACATGCTTGGTGAAGCCGAGGGTCTGTAAGAGAAGATGACCGCAACAACTGGGGGCTCAAGCCTCTCAATGGTGGTGAGGATGGTGCAGGCCCGGGCGGTGCTCTGTCCTGTCCTGTGTCGACCACAGGATCCCTGTGAGTGGGAACTGCCCAGAAGGCATCTGACAAGCACGGTCCTGTGTGTAGTCAACAGCCGTGTCCTCCTTCACAGGTGAAAGTGTCGGGCCAGGCAGGTTAATGCCTAACAGCCGCAGCAGCAGATAGGCCTCTTGGGGGCTCAAGTGGTGAAGCACTGATGGCTAACTGGAAGGTTAGCCGTCAGGACCCCTCCACCTCGCCTTGGGAGAAAGATGTGGCAACTGCCCTGCACGAAATGCTGTGCCACCAAATAGGGGCCAGGGTGACTGGACCACGATTCTCGTGGTTTGGCAGTTAGGTGATGATCTCATGTGATCACAGTATGGTCTAATGTGATCAGCCAATCAGCTTTAAGGAGATGAGGGTGGGGTGCAACCCTTTACTCAAGCCTTCTTCAGGGACTTGCCTTTCGGTGGGTGGCTGTGTCTTCACCTTTTGCATTTCAAGAGAAGGAGGAGCGAGTAGAGTGCACAGCTGTGGGACCTGACTCACACCGAGAAAAAAGAGTTGGGAGCCTAGCGCATTCTTTGGACCCCGGGTCCCTGTGCTGAGGATCTCCTAGACCAGCGGTTCTCAGCTTGTGGGTCGAGACCCCTTTGGGGTCGCCCGATGCGTAACAGTAGCAAAATGACAGTGATGAAGTAGCAACGAAAATAATTTCGTGGTTGGGGGTCACCACCACATGAACTGCATTCAAGGGCCGCGGCATTAGGAAGGTTGAGAGCCACTGCTCTAGAACTTGGTATTGATCGCCGTACTGGCACTGAGCCATCAAACATTTTATGAGATTTAATTATATTCAAGATACTCAGTATAAAAAGGCAGGAAGTGAGCAATCATGGGAAGTATTGTTTCACTGTAATGGTTAAAAGAAAAAGGCGTTTAGTTCCCTGTGCCTCACCGAATGCATTCTCATCCAGAAGGGAAGTGTAGCAGGCTATTGGGAGCCCTGGCTCAGGAGACAGCCATCTGGGGTCAGTGCCCGGCGGTGTGCTAACTAGCCTGATGTGGAGCAAGGGCCCTATTTTGAAATGCAGGGCGCAGTTGTGAGGATAAAGTGGATCAGGGACGCGCCTGCGATCAGATCACTCTCGTCAGCGTTGGAGGAAACTTTGGGAAATCGGGATGGGAAGCCAGGGATGTCAGTAGAAAAGCATAGCGTTTCCTGCCTGCTTCACTTCCTCCGTTTACACTGCTTTCTTATTTTCACGCTTGCCATATGTTATTTCTAGTTGCTCCACACAATTTTATTGAGCGTGATCTCACTGTCATCGAGCTGGTGCAGACTCACAGTGGCCCTGTAAGGACAGGGTACAATTGCCCCCTGTGGGTTTCTGGGTTTCTATACAGGAATAGAAAGCCCCCTCTTTCTCCCTAGGGGTGCCTGGTGGCTTTGAACTGCTGACCCCGTGGTAAGCAGTCCAACTCGTAACTGTACGTTGTCATAGAACCTGCAGCCTCATGGGACCAGACGTAGCTAAACCAGCAGTTGGGTTGTAAGTGATGAAGGACTGTGATTGAGTGTCCAGTGGAGTCGCCCAGAATAGGATCTTAGGTCACATTGGGATTCTAGGCAATAATTTTCCAGAAAGACCAGGCCCACCTTACTTCCTGAAGGATGCATAGCAATGAGGTGAGTGGATGCAGGTTTAAAAGCTTTGCAGACAGGAAGCAACGTGGGCAGTGACCTGCAACCAGCAGTAAGGCCACGTCTTGAAGAAGATCATGTGGCAGGATATGTTTGGGGAGTGCGTGAGAAAGGGGGTGCAGGGTCAGTCAGCCGCAGTCCGTGGCAGGCTCCAGGCTCCGTGAGCTGGGTGTAGCGCCTTTGCTCTGAAGAGGACTCGGCGCCACTGAGAGGCCAGCAGGTAGGAAGTGACCTTATCAGTGTGGCCTTTGGAATCCGTGTGTGAGGTAGCACTTGGTGACTCTCGGATTTCCATGATGGGAAAAGTCTGAGGTTTGCAACTATCGTGCCGGGCCTGCTACAGGAGCGTAAAATACTCATGTATGAGGAGCGAGAGGAATGAGGCGTGGGTCTGGGGGGAAGAGTGCCAGTTCAGCTCTGCAGTGACCTGAGGGGTGTGAGTGCCCATGTCCTCTACTCCGAGGGGGAGAGCGGGCACAGTCCAAACCAACCCAAACCCAGCAGCACCCCTTACCCCCCAAGTCGATTCCCTCTCCCAGACCCTGCTGGGGGGGAGGGAGGGTCTCCGTGGCTTTAATGCTTCAGGGATGCAGACAGCCTCACCTTCCCCACGCCCTGCAGAGCAGCTGGTGGCTTTGAACCACCAACCTTGTGGCTAGCAGGCCACCACTGTTCCAGGCTCCTTACGGCTAGAGTACCCCATGCAAAATCACACCAGGATTTCAGTCACGGCTGTATCATCGCAGGCACCATTTAAGGTCTCTCAGCTCTGGGTCGTCTGGTGTCTGTTTTTGAAATGGGGAAATAGCCCTCCTTTGCAAGGCTGCTGGAGAGTAGAGCAGTCGGATATAAAATTTCTGCAGCTGCTTTCAAACGCACAAGGGGGTCTTTACTGTGAGAATGATAGTAATAGTAGTTCAAATGCTGCGCGATAGATGGCCGCTCACCTTACATCCCACTCCCTTCAGGTGGCCATTGTCACCACTGTCGCCCTGTTTGTGGATCCTTCAAACAGTGGCACAGACCAACCAAACTCGCTGCCGTAGAGTCGATCCCAACCCAGCGACCCCACAGGACAGGGTAGGACTGCCCCCGTGGGTTTGAGACTGTACCTCGTTCCAGGAGTGGAGCACCTAACTTCCTCCCATGGAGTGGCTGGTGGTTTTGAACTGCTGACCTTGTGGTTAGCAGCCTAACCCCCTGCACCAGCAGGGCTCTTGTTGATGTGTGTATTCGTCCATATAGATGCCTTAAGCTGCTGCTGCTGCTCTGGGAGTGTTAGGGCTGAGGGGTTTTCTGTGACCAAGAAGGGCGAGTTGCTCTGGAAATCGTATCATGTTAAACATCTTCTGGATCCCCAGAAAGGATACACTGTTGAGCACTTCCCGGCCCTCCCTCCATGGGGCCACGTGCAAGGGCACACACTCTCGCTGCGGACAGCCATAATGTGTTCATTCATGGGCTGCGGAGATGACGGAGGCACGTGGCTGCTGGGTGCTGATCCCTTCCTCCTTCCCCGTCTTCTGAACAATTTGTAGAGATGACATTGGGAGTTTAATTAAGATTTCATTTAGATTTTGCTACTCCCCCCACCTCGAACTCTCCTGTTAA